GATTATTTTTAACTAACAGAATTTAATTTGTTAAAACCAATAAAACCATAAATTATCTAAACTCCATACCGAATTATCGACTATATTCGATATACTCTATAGTATGTTACAATACAATAGTATAATACTGCAATAGTCCCTAACTCACGATTACAAACCTATGTTTATATTGCCAATATGCATTTACTATCTATATAAATTGTTAACAATATGGGCAATTGAATATTTGTTTTCCAATAATTGTGATTTTAATTTATATTATAAATTATTAGGAACCTATGTTGTATATTAAGATATAAAAAAATTCTATTGGGCCACCTGGGTCTTCACTTAAATCATGCCTTGACCATCAATAGGGATAGAGAAGCAACAACATTTTTAGAAAAATATAACTTACAAGTGTTATCGTATATGTATGTGCAGGTTATGCGCAAGGCCTATCATAGGCTATCTCTTAAACCATGTAACTTGCATAAAAGTCCAACGCACAGTCCATATATTAATTTATCAATGGTTTACACTGTATAATAAGTACTAATTTTTAATAATTCGTTGTATGGTGTATTGACCAGTGGCGTACACGGATATATACAATAGGGAGGGGATAGGCGTTATATTAAAATATGAATGTACATTGTATATTATGTTTCAAAAACCAAGGAGGAGGAATACCCTCCCCCTCCACCTGGTGTACGACACTGTACCTATAGGTACCCCCTACAACAACAGCTTTCGACAGATTTGTATGCGATTAATATTTTATTTTTACCGTTTGCGTTTTGTTCAGACCGACCATGATCCGCGTAACCCGGCATACATTGCGACACAAGGACCGTTAGCCGAGACCTCGGCGGACTTTTGGCAAATGGTGTGGGAACAAGGGTGCGTGGTGATCGTCATGTTGACTAGACTGGTCGAGAACGACGTGGTGCTGTGCCACCGTTATTGGCCGGAAGAAGGATCGGAACTCTATCACATATACGAGGTAAACTTTTAGACGACATAGGTATTAGGTATCTATAGTTATACCTACTAATATGTTATACGAAAGAATACAAAGCAATATCTAAGGGGGGTCCAATGGGTACCCCTCCCCCCCTCCCCAAATGTCATTAATATTTTACAAATGTTTAAAATAATTATTTATTTTTAATATCAACATAAATATTTTCAGTCAAAAATGACTAACATTCCAATTAAATTAACTATTGATCGTTTTGTATGGTATTGAAATATTACTGTGGCTGGGTGGGGCGCGGTCAAACGCTCAATCTGCCGAAACTCTCCGTCCTCCGAGCTTAAACGTACCGGCAGTCGTTGCTAGATCCCGGATGGATGACCACCTGAGATTTCTCGCAACAAAATCCCTGCCACATATATACATATGTGTTCCAACCAACCGTTCCCCTCTAAAAAACAAATAATAGCCATAGTTGCCGGGCTTTAGTTCGATAAAAAAAATTATTAGAGCGTCTAATAACAAAATAATAATATTATTGATTAACGACTTATTATAAACATATCCGATATGTAATATAATAATAATAAAACATCATAATAATTTTTTATATTGTTTAAATTGGAAATTTTTTTTTTCGACTTTCGTATATGTGGCCCGCATAATAAACAATTCAATATAATTGGCCCAGTTAGAAATTTGAGTATGGTTAGTGTAGGATGTGTTGCATACAAAGTAAGGAATGGACGACTGAATTATGGCTCGGTGCACAAGCTAGACGTATTTGAAATAAGCTTGTGTTCCGAAATTCCCTTATCGTAAAGATTATTACCTAGAAATACATAAATATTATTATAATTAATACAATAAACCTTGTACATTCATCTACTTCACACATTCGCCTGTTGTAGTCAGTTTGAAATAAAATCAACATGCATACCTACTTTATAAAAAAAAACAGTAAGTATTTGCCTAATATTAATGTCTGTTTTTTTCGCGTTTATTTTTCAGGTGCATTTGGTGAGCGAACACATATGGTGCGACGATTACTTGGTAAGGAGCTTTTATTTGAAGAATTTGAAAACCGGAGAGACCAGGACCGTTACTCAGTTCCACTTCTTGACATGGCCGGATGGAGGCGTACCAAACACCACCAAAGCTCTTCTGGAATTCCGCAGGTACTTTACTAGGGTAGTTAAATGGTAATGTATATGTGATATGTATGTGGTATGGGCTGCGTGCAGAAAGTGCATAAACGCCATTTAGACGGGGTGTTAGAACATCCAATGACAATTGTTTTGAGTACTGAAAGCCATAAAATTGAGATCAAATTGTATTACCTAGGTAGTAATTACTTGATAGTTTTTTAAAAAAACAATTAGTTCAAAAAGTTTTTTTAACGATTAAATTAAGTAAATCGATAGATAATAAAATGGACAGAACAAAATTAATACATTATTAATTAATTCTCCGACTGTTTACCAAGATTTCTGATGACTTAACTATATTTAAACTAAGTAGGTACCCATAACACTATAACAGACCGTCATGGTCAGTTTATGGCGGTGCTGAAAATGTAGGTGGCCATTATCACTATTATTAAGAATAGATAGTCAAAGTCTTTGCACACTATTTTTAATGGTGTGGGGAGGAGAGTTAAAATCTCGGTGCCTATGGGTGGGCAATTCTTCATTTAGGATAACGAATAGATAAATAAAAAAACGTGAAAACAGTTGAAATAAAACGAATACCACGACCGTTAAGTTACCTAACAAATTTATCACAGACGCCATGGTATTACATATGGTGTATCTAAGAGGCGGCGGGGGCTAAGCCCCCTAACTTTTATTTTAGCCCCATGTCATAATAATTCCTAAATTCCTATAAACAGTGGCTACATTTATACATTTTAATTTTAATAATAGTTTTTTTTTTTTAATAACATCTGGGAAAATTGTTTTTGTTATTGTCAAACTACTACACAGTATTATTAATACATGTGTATGACGTATCATGTCATGACATTTTTAGTTTTTACTACATACTTCCATAGATGTTGTCAATAAAGCAAACACTAATGAAGTCGTCACCCAGAGGAATACTACCGATTTTATTTTAGTAACATTAATGTGTAAATGGTGATAACGACTAACGAGTAACGATCATCGGATGACGATCGCTGAACACCTACCTGCCGACCACATATTGGTTACGCTCTTGTAAGACGGAGACGACACATGCGGGTACAGCGTCCTCTAAAGAATCATCAGGGAATTTCCCTGATAATCAATTTGAGTTTTGTTCAAAAATTGGTTTTCCAAATCTACATAAAATGCTACATTTATCACTTTCTGTTCAAACGAGTTCCGCCTTCCACATCTAGTGATAAAACATTTTCAGCCATGTGTCTAATAAATAGTTAGGGTCAACTATGTTACCAAATCGGTTATGTTTATAATATTGTGCACATATAACGTTTATTATGCCTATTGATATTGAAAGAGATTTATCAAATTTTTTAAATAGAGAAGACATTTAAAAAAAATTACAATTGAGCGGAGGCTTAACCCGTAGTTACTAGCGTTATATTGTAATTTATATAATGTTAAACACATAATTTCTTTAATTTTCACCTATATTTTAAGAAAAATAAATTTAAAACCTTGTTTGAATTTGTAACTAAAATAATACATTTTACTATTTTAGTAGGTAACTTAATATTTACCTTCTCTCTCCACTTTTCTATGATTCGTTTATACACAAACTATAGTTATATAATAAAATAAAATATTAATCGGATATTTATTGTTAATTAATGTAACGTGTTTGAGCCTTGGAGGAGAGCCCCACACTTAATTTACTTACTATAAAAATGATAGGACTGAAGCCACCACTAACTTTAAGGTCTAGTTATGCTTAAAGGTATAATAAACTTTTTTTCAGGAAAGTAAACAAGTCGTTCCGTGGCAGATCTTGTCCTATTGTCGTGCATTGCAGGTAAGTCATACCTACTTATATGGTTATATAACTTATATGTGGGTGAATATAAACGGAACAATATTGTATATTTGTACCAAACCTATTTTATCATAATGCGCAGCGATGGTGTTAGTCGTACTGGTTCGTATTGCCTATTGGACATGGTGCTAAATCGTATGGCAAAAGGAGCTAAGGAGATCGATATAGCTGCTACCCTGGAGCACATTCGGGATCAGCGTTCGGGTGCGGTGGCGACTAAGGCGCAATTCCAAATGGTTCTGGCCGCCGTGGCCGAAGAAGTGCAAGCCATATTGAAAGCTTTGCCCCAGCAACAGACACCTCAACCTTTACCTCCGCCTCCACCACCAGCCCAACATTGAATTTCTTTTATCCTGTTACACATACACGATATAAGCTCTACCCTTTGCTAGTATTTCCTAAACTATAGGCTCAAAAAATGTTTTTTTGATCTCATCAACTATCTTCTAGACCTCTTAATATCATAATAAAACATTTATTCGGATGCTTGAAATTCCAGCATAATATTATATAAACTTAACGCCTTTTGTTTTCCTATTCAAATGTTGATTTATGTTATAATATTATATATTTTACCGGTCAATTGTTACCAATACAAAAATAACCATAAAACAGGTTAATTATTATGTATTTTTTTATTATATAATTTTAAATGTTTTTTTATTTGTTTTTATGTTAAGTATGAATTTGTTAATTTCCTCTTCAAATCATGAACTATTAAGTTACATTTCTAATTTTATTTAATAACGACACAGACATTTTAATATTCGTATAATATTTAGTCATATAGAAATATAATCAAATTACCTATTATTACTTATTAGTTATTAGAGATCATATTATAATAGTTTTAAATTTTTGAAATTAAATTTATTATATTAACAGACATACATATAACATAATATACCTACATTATATAAAATTTTGTGTTAAAAAATATATAATATATACTTATAAATTATAATAAACAATTATTAATATTAATAGCCATAGAGAAGTATTTAAATTATATTTATGCAAAATATTATACCTGTCTAATGTGAAATCTAAATCATCCGAATAAAATCTGAACTGTTCCCTCATGATTAAGCAGTAGTTCAATTTATTTGTTCACTTATTCATCCCAAAATCGTTAAGCCTCAGCAATTTGTGTTTTCATTGATCACACACTATACATTTTACTCGCTAAATTAATAATTATTATTAATAGCCGAATAAATCTATAGTACTGTAAACAGTCAAAGGTTAGCACTCATCTAGTCATCATTGGCACTATGGATCTATTTAAATTTAGTTTAATGTAGTTACATAAGATTTGCATTAAATAATTTTAAATGATGTTAAAGTAAACGATATCCCAAATATAATGAGGAATGTGGAGTAAGTCAATCTATGAATTAAGATTTATTTATTTATTTGAAAAATTGGTATATATTATATTGTAATATGTTAGGTACCTTAGTCTATACTAAGGTATACTCTACATTATTATACTCTGACCAGCAAGAGAACATGCCAATTTTGCACATCCCTAGGTGAAACCAAGCCATAGACCGGTTCCACTAGGCAGGAGGTTGCATGGGGATACGCTAAAGAACCAAATTGTTGACAGGCAGGTGCGTGTTCTCCCGCAAGACAAAATATAGCTCGGTTAAAATGCAAAAAGAGATAAATTTAAAACGTATAACACACAATTATATGTAGGTACCTAATTTAGATTATTTAAAGGCCTAAATTTTATAATTTTACATGTTATCAAAATCAATAGATTTCCCTTCTGTCATTATTTTACAAAATTGTGTGATAATTAATAAGTCATTTGAAAGATATTGCGCATTTGATGTAAAACAAAAATAAAACCAATCCATTAATTTATTGATTTATTCATTCAAGTTCAAAAAGTTTTTCAGTTCTTAAAGTAAACATCAAACAATTCGAAGAACTGCAAGTGATAGATAACTTTTTTAAATTAAAACATATTATTAAAAAAAAATTATACAATTAAAAAATATGCACAACAATCTTATGGTATTATAATCATTTTAAGCAGTAGGTAGTCTTAATATTATAATATTGTTTACATCATTCAAACAAGATTTCAACAAAATATATTTTCTACAACTTACAACTAATAGTTTCTAATATCCATAATTATCAGGCACGTATGGAAGTGGGTTAGTTTTATAACTGCGCTGATTAACAATTAAATATGGCAAATTAATGTTATATTATTAACTATATTTTTGTGGTATTTATTTGGAAATATTTCATTGAAAAAATAAAAGGAACTTCAAAATGTATATTATTAATCTTTTATTTTTTATTTCAATTTTTTCATTTTAACCTTAAACATTATTTGCAAACTAGGAAAGTTATTATTTTATATAGTTTTGTCCTTTTCTATGATTTATGAATCATGATTGAATAAATCATTTTTGTTTAAGTTTGATTGGTGAACATTGTTTAACGAATGACAAGCTAAAAATAATGATTTATCTGATGTTAGATTGTTCTTCCAAGTTGAAACAAACCTCTGAATGCCAACTTTAAAATACTCTGGATCAATCATAAACTGTTCTTTTATTGTATTATGAACAGATTTAAATTCAGATAAAATGTTTTCGAATTCATTTTTTTCAGTATTTAGTTCTTCTTCTTCTTTTTCTTCTCCTTCTTCATCACAATTAGGTGTATTTAATACACAAGTATCATTATGTGCAGAATAGTTAAATATGATCTTTTCATCCAAACGTTCACTTAAAAATACTTGATGGATACACGGAGAACATACATTATTTATAGTGCAAGAACATAGTCCAATATCCATATCAACAAAAAATTTACCAACATTATCACTTTCTACTAAGTACATGGAATGATGGTCAGTCATACTACAGTAAGTATAGTTCTTATCTCTATACATTTCTTTGAAATTATTTAAAATTATTTGTTGGTTATTATTTGGACTATCTGTAGACAAATTGTTGTAGAATAAGTCAAATTCATCAATAACAAAATGAAATGTTTGTAATATTGAAAGTGATTTAGTATGATAATAAATAAGTTTCCGTTCAGAAATAGTAGAGCATGGATGAGAGGACATAGGTGAACAAAATAAAAAATTGTTTTTATCAATATTTTGCATAAATTGTTCGAAATTTGGATAATTTTCTATGAAAATAGCAAAGTTTGAATCTAAAAAATTGTCAGCAATAAAACTTTCAGAACATACAATTTTTTTTAATTCAACAAAGTAATTTAACTCTTCAATCAAATCATTTTCATTTGTGACACTAATAAGCCATTTCCATGCACTCAGTAAAAAATGAAATTTAGAAACACATACAGTGGCTTTAGGAAAAACTGTTTGGAATGTATGTACATACACTAAATCTACTACTACAGTTTTCATGGCACCCCCTAATTTTTTCCATGAACATAAGCCCGCTTTTAACAAACAATCTTTATCGTCAGAGGAAATAATTACTCCTACGGGAATCATTATTTTTCTATCATTTTTACTAAACATGAACCATGTTTTACAAGTATCGAAACTAGTTGAGCACACAAATACTATATCAGAATTAACTGTCCCCATTAGAGGGGTTCGAATAGCAATCACAATATTGTTTTTTATTAATTCAATAACAGCACTCTTCGTTCCTATACTGGCATTATAATATTTTATAGATTTAATTAATGAATCTACACGTTTAACTAAGGGTGATGAAAATCTAGACTTTCTTATGTGCCTGTAATACAACTCATAAACAAATTCTACATCTGGTTTGACTCCCAAATCCATTAATTTCAAATAATGATTTTTACCTTTATTTCTTATAGTTTTAATTGTATATTCATGCAGTGCACCAGCAGCTGATTTACCATTTTTTAATAAAAGTGTAATTTGATTATAAACATCATACATAGCATAGGATAATTTCATTGGTGTGAAACAATTCTTGGGATGACAATGACAATGTTTCATTAATATGACAGCTTTTGATTGACAAGGTCTGCAAACAATAATCTCACGTCTTAAAAATGTACTTATACTTTCCATTCTAGCCACATTTTTACTTACAATTTATTATTTAAAGGTTTAATCATAACTGTTAGACTCGCTTTACAACTAGTTGGGTTCTGCAGCATACTATTAGACTTAATATTCCAATAATCAATGTTTTTGCATTTATATACCATCTAAGATTAAAGAAATATTATAAATTTACTACAATTTGCATACTAATATGTTATGATTAATGTATTAGCTAACTTTACTTACTCGATGGATATTTTTTAAAGAAATAGATGGTATATTTTCAGTTATATACTTAACTTTTGTTTTATGGCATAAACTATTCAACCAATCCATAAATAATTCTTTGTCAATGTTAATAATATGAAATTTTGCTTTGAACTGTCCAAATGACAAATCTTTGAATGCCAATATTTTATAAGAATAATTAACTGGCAAGCAATCCTAAAGTAAATACACAATTATTTTTGCAAACAATTTTCAAATCAAAAAGCATCAATTATCATCATTATTATTATTATTAGGTTTAGAAGTTAAATTAATGTTTAAAAAATGTTGATACGTATCTAACAGAATATGTAATAGTGTTCAGTGGCGTACCCGTAAAATATTTTTGGCAATAGGGGAATTATTAAATAACTCACTTTAAATTTTAAGACCTTTTGAAAATTCAAAAGCAAACTACTCTTGGGTGGGGGTATTGTGGATGGGATGGCAAATGCCTTGTTGCCACCTCTTCAGGTACGCCAGTGATATATTTAAACGCACACGTTCGCTTACTTTTAATGATAAATAAGCATTGAGTTTTTGAGAAACTCTTTTATCAGATGGCCGTGAGGTATACTTGCTCAAATTTGGTATTGAAATATTGTGATTTAAATGTACATGTTTATTCAACAAACTTTTACTATTAAACTGTACGTGACATTGTGGACAGTTTAACAAACTTTTCGAATCGTCATTGCATATTGAAGAAACATTAGACTCATGAACAGTTTTAATATGTTCTAAAATTTGTTTTCTTAATGTAAAAGTCTGCGAACACAGACTGCATGGATATAAAATATCCATTATTGAAAAGATTGTACCTATTAAAAATAAAATAACACCTACTTCAAAACTATTTACAATGAAAATAAATTTATTTTAATAAAAAATAATATTATAAATACATAATACTATACAATGTACACATTAAAAATATACTTAAACTTAAAATAATACATAGAATTAATCTGAATTAATAAATACTTTAATTTTTAAAACAACAAACAAAATTATGTTTGTCAAAAAGTTTAGAAGTAAGTAGGTACATACTTAATAGACGATGGCTAATATTTAATAACTTAAATTATAATTATTAGAATATTTTCATGTTGATGAAGAATTTTCGAAAAAAAATTGGTAGGTGAGTAAAAGAACATCAGTCGGTTCTGTATTACTGTGTTATGTGTAATATTTACGAATTGCTGTAATTTTGAATTTTGTTAATAACATGGTTAGAACTTAATAACATGACAAAATGTAAAACTCATTTTCTGGTGGTGAAAATGTGAAATATGAATACAATATTAAAATAAATGGTCACTGATCGTTATTCGTAGACCGTACTACCACAGACTATATGAAATTATGAAAACAGATAGCTCACTCGGGATGTAAACAAAAACTATGAATATTATCACTGTGACCAAATCAGTGTAACCACAGTGAGGGCATAAAATTTCGTTTGGTCCATGACAAAAAAATGACACGATTGCTACCTGCCGCCAACATTGAAATTCAAACTAACTGCCCTTCTATTCTATAGACCTTTTACATCCCTTAGAAGTTAATCTTGGCCTCTAGTTGCTGTTTGTACGATTTCCATGTGACTTATTAGTTAGGGTTGCCATTTATACAAAAATACAAGTCGGGACACTATAATACCCCCCCCCCACAACACATTCTTTGGAATTTTTAATAATACCTTTTTTAGTCCAACGTTATTTAATATTTTTATTATATTATGATTTATAACAAATAAAAAAGTCAAAAATTAGAAATAGCACAAAATGTAATAATAGTATTATTATTATCTTATTCATAAATATAATTTTAAATTATCTAAAAAAATTAATTAGCTACACAATTTTTAATTTAAAACAGAGTGGTCTTACTTATTTAGTATTCACTAATATGTGTATTGTATAAATCTTGTTTTAAGAAACCGGTACTTATCCACGTCCCGGCCGGGAAATGAAAAATATCGGGACTCTGTAGTAAAAACCGGCAGTGTCCCGGCGAAATCGGGACGGATGGCAACCCTATATTAGTTGACCACTGATAAGTGTGTAAGTTACTTAATTTTCAGTACACAATTTAGTTGTACTTCTTAATTTTAAAATGGATAGTAAAAAAACTGGAATGCGTTGCTCCGTACAATTTTGCAAAAGTTAGGCAAGTACTAGGAAAATAAGTTTCTTCCAATATCCGAAAGACGATCGTCCAGCATTATGGACAAAAAATTGTGGTACAGATAATTTGACTGAACAACTATCAAAAAAAAAAATAGCTTTAAAGTATGTGGCTATCACTTTGTAGATTCAATGTTTTTGAACTCCACAACAAAGAACCGACTAGTTTTCAATGATATTCCAACAATATTTAATAGTAAGTAAATAATAAAATTATTAAAACATGTTAAAAAATTATACAAATAATTTGAAAAACTAATTTGGTTTTTAATAAAGTAATTTTTAGTTTAATAATTTAATTTTAATTTTAGTTACATTTTTTTGATTTTAATTTCTAGATGAAATAATGTTTGAAAGAACAAAATTGGCCAAATTACAGTCGACAACCGATGTAGATCCACAGTATTTTGATGATAATTCAAAAGACCAGAGTAGCTGTAGTAGTTCAATTCCAGGCACAGAAGGATTAAGAAGTCATTTTAGTGGATCCATGAATACTTCTGATGCTTCAAATGAATCTTGTAGCTCAATTCCCACTACTGATTCTTCAAATCAAACACTTGGATACTTATCGGCAAATACACCAAGGAAACAAAAACTAGTAACGGAGATTAAATTTGGAAAACAAGAAATAAAAAATTTAAAGAAGAATATAGTAAGTTTAAGTCAACAATTAGCTAACTATGATACAGTTGAACATTTTTTTAAATTAAGTGAAAAATATTTATCACCTGGATTATTTACTATTGTCAAATGCCAAATGAATTTAAAAAAAAACAAAAATAAGTTTATAGATATAATAATGAAATTATAAACAATTAGCATTAAATATTTATTAGTAATAATAGCTATATCAAGAGCCTTTTATTAAATTTTCACGCTTTTTGGCCCCACAAATAAAATTTAATCAACAATTATAGAAAAAAATTTAAAGTTGACAATGTCCGTATACAGGCTCAATGACGCAGCACATGACGAGCGTATTTTTTTAACCGAAAAACATGGTTTCGTAATTCAAATAATACGGCGTTGTGATGCGTTTTACAGTATAAATACATATTACGAAAATTGTAGAGGAGAATTTTTTCTATGTTTTGTTGGAAACCGATTCCTGAAAATAGTATTAACAAGCGAGCATTACGACATAGAAAAAGACCATTTTGTAAATACTGATTTGCTTATATTTTAGATAATTGTTGTGTACGTAATCTCAAAGGCTCCAAAAGCTGTAAGCTCTAGAGACAAATCAAACAAGCACCAAATTGAACTGTAGAATAACTTTTATTCAGCAGAAAGTATGGTAAGTGTGTAATAGCGTGTGCGCGTGTGACGAGAAGTTGCTCTGGTCTCCGTGGCTATGATACATCTGCCCAGGCTGTCCCACGGGCTCCCTTATAAGTGATGGCGGTTCTTTTGACGCAGCGGCACGTGCAGATTGTATGTGTGTGTGTTTTCGGTTGTTGTTGCCGATTCTTAGAATAGTGACTCGTGTCCATGATTTCTAGTCGTGTACCTGTCCAGTGATTTATTACATAGATAGGGGCAGATAGTACATAATATTCTATATTACATTGTTATAATATTATATTATATATGCGGAGATGCCAAGGCCCGCAACATAATTAATCACAATATCAAATATCTGATTCTAACAAAACATAGCAAAAACTACCACCTTTCAAACAATGTATTACTTATGAGTAGAGTCCGGATTTGTATGCATTTATATATTTGTAACGAGTGTATGTGTATGCATTTCGATGGGAGTAAGAAATGTGGACGATTTGTGTAACAGATAATGCATAGAAAAAAGTTTATTTTGCATATAAATGCATATTTTAGAGATGACTGCATATTTGAAAATTTTTGCATATTCAAGCATATTTTGTATAAAAGTTTATTAAGCCAATTATTTTGTTTCAATTTAATCGTTGAAATTATTAGTTCATTACGTATTTTTGGGAAATAAATGTTATTTTCCGTATGTTATCGCCAGTAAATTGTGCACTAGTGCCCATATATCATTTCGTAATTCGTGTTCCGTAAATTTATAAATTAAAATTTTCATTTCATTACAATTTACAAATTTTAAAATGCTGAAAAGTCGAAGCACTATTCCAACTTTAATAAAAACATGGATTACTCTTTATTAAATATTTACTGTTCTTTAATAAATGTTTAAAGTCAGTGTCTATAATTAAAAAATTAAGTTTATCTAATTTTGTCGAATTATAATTTATGGAAGAAATTTTAAGAAAAATTTTAAAATGCATATATTTTGGGTATAAGAGCATATTTTTCCATATTATTAAAAAAAAATAAGAGCATATCAAGTGCATATTTTGAAGTTTTTTGATGCATAAATGCATACTATTTTGGCCTTTTTGAGTGCATACAAATCCGGACTCTACTTATGAGTCTACGACTATTATTGATTTCGTAGCATTTGAAATACGAACGCACTATGTTCAATACAAAACGACTGGTGTTGCACACTCTTGTCTCTTAAGTTAAGATGTATAGAAAACGTTAATATAAACATTCAGTCAAAATGTTATGTATCTACGATCATTTGTTTTAGAGTTACACTAAAAACTAAAAAACCCACGTGAAAATTTCGGTTTTTCCTTAATTTTTAAATATAAATAAAAATATAAAATTTGAATGATGGTTGCCCCAGCTATCTTTGTCAGCTAGTAATAAAAAAAAATTAATCAGTTCTCTTGCGCATAAGATAAAATACCTAAATTATAATTATATAAGAATTATTATTAAAATGTATATAAGTATTACACACTGTATACAGTATACGTACTATATAATATGTATTAGGTATTCTACATAATAATTTTATTTAGGTGCCAGAGTTGGAAGATAGCACTACAAATCTGGAAAAGATCGATGATCAACAGACAACTTCAAAGTTTTTTCCTGTTTCACAGCCCCAACCCCAGAAACTAAACACCAATTTAAAAAATCGCACCGTGGATGAATTTATGATGGCATGTACTCAGGCACTGAGTAAAAATACGGAAATAGACGAATATGATGCAGTTGAAATTAATGTTACAAACAAGTTAAAAAAGATGGAAAATAAACAAAGTATTTATGCTGACCTTCTAATTAACAAGATTCTAGCTAAAGGTTTGTTGGGAACACCTGCCGCTGATATATATGAGCGGGTAGAAATTACCCAATAATACAATAATATTTTATATTTGTATGTACCGATTGTCTTTAGACATTTAGTAAGTTAATAGTCCCCTTTTTTAGACGTAAGCCATTTCGGGAGCGCTTGGAATGGACGCGCCTGGAGCGCGATTTTTGAAACGTTCTTCTCGCGTGAAGCGCCAAAAACGTTGTTTCCAACAACTAGCACACGCCAATCATGCGTGTTTTACCTATCCTTTTGCACCTAGGTACCAAGAGCGTCCGTGTAAAGGATAAAACTCTGTGTTTTCAGGCGCGATTGGAATTGCGCGTAGCGTATGTGTATTTCACACAATTTTCGCGGGATTTTCTTACCAAACCTCGTGTTTCTATTTGCAGTCACTGCTGTTATTTTCAGGTGTTCAGTTGTGAAGAACGTTTCATACTGTACTTACTTTCATTTCTAATTTTTATAGGTTATAAATTATAGCTATAGTAGTATAGTTATAATCATGTTAAAATTAAAGCAGAAACAAATTGTTATTTGTTATAGGTAAAGGTTTACAAGTATATTTGAATTCCTCAAACAAACAAAAAACGTTCCAAGTGAGTTAAAACCTGGATGTTTAACCGGGAAAAATACAGTGATATTGTTTTATTACGCGAGCTTCGTCAAAACGATCTTGACGATTTTAAAAACTACTTAAGATTGCACAGTGAAGGTTTTGATTAGGTACTTATTGAAGATAGTAGGTCCAACAATAAAAAAGCAAGACAAAGTTATGCGTGAACCTATTACTTCAGAACAACGGTTAGTTGCTACATTGCGGTTTTTAGCAACAGGGAGGTCATATAAAGACCTATATAAAGTTCAGTACGCGAATATCTGCTCCCAGTCTTTCGAGTACATATGTTAGCTTCAGACGCTTATTAAAAATGACTGGATTTGCGCTTGAACTTTTATTTTAATTTCAACTAACATCAACTCATTCTCATGAGTCAAGTATTTGGCCTTTCCACCCCTGAGGGATTTAGAGGCACTGGATGTTTCCCCCCTCGACTAAGACATTTCCAACCTAGGCCCTGAAATCAATATATATTTTTTATACACATAATAGATTGGAAAATAGGTTCTTTGGTTTTACTCAAAATATTTGTTTTTCCCGGCGATTTTGAAAACTACTGGGAATTTTGATCTCCTGAAGTCCTGAATGCACCAATTAGATTCACTTTCCCACCAGAAAAGATATTGAAGTTGAAAATTGAAGCATTATTTCAACTACTTATCGTGTAAACACACTAAAAAAAAATTTAAAAAAAAAAAAAACAAAATTGTAAAACCAAATACAGTCATCACTCTACTAAGAATCTAAAATTAAAATATTATTTTTTCTACATTTTTATACCATCGATTTACTTAGGTTTTCCAAAAGAAATCGGGGGGTGGCTATAGTGCAATAGTTTCATAAATAATTGTATAAATATTAATAAATACATTTTTGAAAATAGTTATATAGACACAATTAAATAATTCATAATACATATCATGATAAATTGATAAGCCTGTCAAGTATTATTTCTTTGTTAAACATATTTATAGCTTTTGATGTCATCCTATGAGTATGCTTTCAATTGTGTTTTTAAAAGTAATTTGAATCATTTCAGAGACAAAATTGTCACAAATCTTAACCATTGACCTAGGCATTCATTTTACCTCCACTATTAACTCTGATTACCATATAAAATTAAAATATTACAGTCATGTAAAAATCCTTGGCTACATCGCATGTATCACAGACATTCAGTTCCCTAGTCTGTCTTCGTACTCTTTATTTTGAGTTGGTTCACTCAACACGACAATACTGGAATATGGTGAGGTAGCTTGGCATCCTTATTTTGCTAAGGATAAATCAAGCTTTGAGTAGTTGTGCATGCACAAAATCAATTTTTTTACACTCAGATTGTGATCTCAAAATATTCCCTTACATTGTCACGAAGCTGACATCAGATTTTTTTCCTCACTTATTTATGGCTCCATGCCTCCATAAGCAAACCTGATTTCCTTGCCAGCATTAACTACTGTGTATAATGAAGATAATTTCACCTCAAAAGGTAATATAATCTATTTTCTTAGCAACATCTAAATATTTTACAAAAGTAATACTTATAGACTCAAAGAAAACAGTTTAAAATTCATACAAATTGAGGTAAAAATTTGGAAATAAATATAGCAGTTACAATATATTAATAATTGACACATGAATAAAATTTAAAAATCAGGTTTGGTGATAAGTCAGATTTTAATGATGTTGTCAAGTTCATTTTTGATAGCGATGACCCCTTCAATCAGTGGACTATGAGCAAAACGGCTATACAACATGTTTTGACAAATTACCAATAAATCTAATAAGTTCACAGCAATAGATCTCCTGAAAATGTTCAGTTATAAAAAATTAAGAAAACATTTTTTTTTATAAATTAAAATTGTATGACAGCTATTACCTTTGCATCCCCGATGGCCATAGATCAACATTCTGTAAATAATACCGAGCTAAACTCATGATAACTTCCAATACATGCAGCTCACTTGTCTTTTGCCATCGTGGATCATTGGTAGAATAAATCCTGCAAGACAAATAGATTAATTTAATGATTTTACTTAATTGATACAACTTGTAAAAGATATTACTTTTTATAAATTGCCACTAATGATTCAATTGGAGCCCCAATAGTTAACATAGTTGTGTATACAGATTCCAAATCTCCACCCAAGTTGCAATTCAAATATTCCAACATAGTTGTTACATACTCTACAAAACCGAAAAAAAAAATATTTGTACATTTTTGAAATTAGGAACCAACACTTGTGTTACATACCCAAATCAAATGTAGACGAATTGATTGGATGCGAACTAGCCAATGATTTTATTTTTTCCAGAGCAATGGTCATTTTATTGTGTTCATCAATATCTCCGCAATCTTCTACAACTAAAAACAAAAATACGTAAAAATCATTTATACAATCAACATAAAAAAGGAGTTCAACAAAAAAAAAAACGGTATACTTCACCGTTTTAGTAGAATTTCTATTATAAATCTAAAAAATTACACCTCCAGTGATACTCAGATCCATGATTTTAAAGGGTAGGAACACAATTTTAAAGGGTAGGAAAGTTTTATTTTTATTTTGATAAATACTCTTGCCATCAAATCAAAATAGTTAATACACTCATTATTTATCAACACACATGGTCTATAGGTCTAAGTTTTTAATATTAAAATAATGAAAACTAAGATTTTAATACAAGTTAGTAATTTTATTTTAGTACTTAAGTACTTACCCTTTAATAAAATATTTTCCCAAATCTGGTTCACTAGTTCACGATCATCATGATTGGAAAGCTGTAGTATTGCCAACTGAGCTTCCCATAGACTATATGGTTCAGCAAAATCACTGTAAAGCTAACACAATATGCATATTATTTTTTTGTATAAACATTATCTTCATTTTTTAAATACATACTTCACCTAATACAAACAGACAGCTATTAAGCTTATCAATGATATCAGCTTTTCCATCAATTTGACTAGACGACAATAAATCCAATATCTAGTTCAAAAATGTATGTATGAAAGAATTAACAAAGACAACAAATAAATAAATATTTAGGTCATAGAAACCAACCATTTTCTGTATTTCAGCTACTTGTATTAAATCTTCAACATCTCTGAGACTCGTAACATTCAAAGCTGGTATGCTTAACTTTTTACTGCGCAAGCAAGCCATTGCCCGCCCCAAATACATAAGTCGATCATTTAAAGTTAAGCCACTTCTGACAAACAAAACATTAAAATAACTTTAAAATATACAAAATAGTTAAAGTTTTTAGAGTAAAAACAATTATAATTACCCGGGTCTTTTAGCCAATGATGCCAGAACTTCAGCAGCCTCATAATAATTACCATTATACTCGTAATATCTACACAGTACATCTTTGATATAGTTATTGTTATTATCAGATCTGGACTGAGCCAACAAAAACTTTTCCAAACTATGATGTCCCATTTCAATTGTTTCTTTTATTAATTTCTTATCTATCATCCATCTATACACTACGGTGTGCATGATTTCATCATCACAAGATATACACAATTTTATCAATTCAGAAACCTGTTAACAGCAAGTACACCAATATTTTAAATTTGTTTATACATTTATTTATAAAATTAATACCAAATTGGAAGATTGTTCAGAAGTTAATGCAGAATTTTCTAGGATTCCAGGTATTAAATTTGGTCGAGTAGGTATAATTACAGATGGATTTTTTACCATGATTGAGTATAAGTAATCTAAACTTGCACTTATTTCTTTGTAAATATCTAATCTGAATTCATAAAAAAAATTAAATCAACGTGCTTACAAAAGTAATGTCTTTCAGCATTACTACTGCAATAATTAAAATAAAGATAACTTAAATAAAAGTATTACTTAAGTTAAATTACCTGAGCATGTAGGCACCATAACCTGGTCCATCTCCATCCAATACCGTATTGTTGGCAAAATAATGACCACCCAAGTTCTTTGGATCAAGTTTTTTAGCACACTCTCTACATATCTGATATAAGCCTTCCATATAAGCACAATTTGTGAATTGTAAACAAACTGATGTTAAATTAAACTTTGGTGCCACTTCTTTCAACACCTAATTCAACCAAATGAAAGATAAATAAAAAAAAATCATGAAAATTCAAGCAACTTATTAAATTAATAATTACCATAAGAGATTGGTAAAGAATTCTTTTACGCTCTTCTTCATTAACTGTAGATTGTGCCAATTTAATCATTTCTGAAGCCTAAAAGAATTGAATGGGAAAAATAATTTATTGTTTATAACAGTTACAATAAAGGTTTTGTTCATACTCTGTATTTTATTTAATATTTAATGTTCTATAATATTTTGTTTTTTAACTAAAACCCACACTCAACATAAATGAGACATAATCACGTGAATTTAATTCACCTATTACAAAAATGTTATATTTTATATATTTGAATATTAGACTTTCATAACAAAAAGAAAACGTATAAATTTTAAACAAATATTAAATTAATTTGAGGCAATATTTAGATAAATTGTTAAGTCATGCCCTTAAAAACATTACTCGCAATAATTTACTAAATTTTTCCACTACAATGTGACTCAACAACATAAAAATAAAATATTGCCTAAATTGCATGTGAGCCAGAGCGAAAAAATAAACTGGGTACTGACATCCTCTATTAACAAAAAATGACAAACCGCAAGTGTACATCAGCCATAATCCATTTTCTTGTTATTTTTAATGTTACAGTGAATTTACATATCAGATTTAAATATTATCTAGAACCATATACCCCTACGTTATTCATTTTGGATATTTTAATTTAAAAGCAAATTATGATCATTTTAAAATTAAGAAAATATTATAAACTTTAAATCTACTGATATGTCAGTTCATTCTAATATTAAAAATTACACATTAAAATAGATTATTTTGAATGTAAAATTTGGTATGTTATAAGATGGAGACAACACATTAAAGTACAATTTCTTACACTTTAATCAATTTTATTTTAGACTGTACAATATTAATATTAAAATATTACATACTTTTGCACAAGCAGCGTCTTCAGAATGGTATATGGAAGGACAGACTTGTCGTAATTTCAAACTGATTGATTCAACAGACGAACTTTCACTTAAATATCTAAAATTTAAAAATTTAAAATAACTTCTATATTCATAGTAACATTATAGAGAGACCATTTTTAAAAGTATCTAACTTTTTACAGTACAATCAGGCTATAAAATATTTTATACTATTATAAATCACAGAACAAAAGAAAATATTTTATTAGCAGTAATATTGCACACAGTAATCAATGATTATTAATTGAGAAAACATCTGCAATTTCGTAATCTTGTCCTGTCTATACTCACGTATCCAATAGTTTTTGTACCAAAGTTTGACACATTTCTTGATGCACAAGAATTAAATCTTTGAAAGTAACATTTTCCAATACACGTTGATCTTGCTAAAAATAATAAAAAAAAGTTTTTAATTATAACAATTAACTGAGTTATTTATAGTTTAGATTAAAAATGTTAATTATAAAATTATATAAGAAAAAGTATTTTTAAAAATGAGTAAACATTTCTAATTTTTACTTACGTCATTTAATTTATTTGCTATAATATAAAATTGATGTTCGCTGAGTAATTTCCACAAATTAAACACTTCAGCACTACGAATAACTAATTGTTTCAAACATTCTATAGATTTTGATTCAGATTGCTGTGCATCCTGTGTAATTGTACGCCTAGACACATCCAATGGTGTTTTGGTATAGTTCGCCGACATTTTTGAATAATTGTCCATGAAAGAGCGTAAAGTTTGCAAATGGTTTGCAACAAATGAACAATCATCTGGAGACACTGTATTGACGATCTACAAATGAAAATTTAACAAATGAATTGAATTTTTATTTATTACAATTGATTATTTATATATTACATAAGTTTTCCCATCAGTGGTCTCCATATTAACAGCTTTAATGTTCCAAAGGGGTCTCAGTAAACGACTCACAAACAAATATAATCCATTGTGTTTTGAAGAGTATTGAACACTAGTGGATTCAAATGGTAAGTTTGTGATATTTGTCTGATTTTTTATAAAAGTCGGTGTAGATGGTGACGTAAAATTATTTGGTCTGAAACCTAAGAATGTTCAATTACATATCTTATTCTTCAAGTAAACGATACATTATGTTCATGAATAATAAATATAAAAAAGTAGATATATCCTCAAACTCAACTTATAAAAATTATTTACATTAGGAAATGTCTAAATAAATTAACATTTGAAATTATAAGAATAAATAGATAAATTGAAATAAATACATTTGTAATAAGCTAATTCACGTATAAACAGTAAACATGTGTTTCTTACTATTATTCTGAGGAACTCTTGTAAATTCATGAAGTGATTCATGTAAATTTTCAGTTACTAATTTAGGCTCATTGCCATGAGCAAAAAATGCATGAGTTGCGTATTCTTTGATCTGATTACAAAAACATACATACATTTAACTAATTATTCAAGCTTTACATAAAAAAAAAATGGAACCACAAACCTTAATATTTTTTAATGATTGATCGCAAATAATTGTAAGACATGCCACACACGCTTGATCATCAGTGAAATTTTTAAAATATGTTTTGATAGCATCTGTTTCTGAACCTTGACTGTTGGCCAATAATTCACTGAGAGTGTCATAAGGTCGAAGCATTTCAAAAATTTCTAAACCCTATTATAAGAAGAAAATTTTGTATAAAAGTTAAAATACATTTTTCAAAAATACTTACTTGTGGAGCTAAAGTTATATATTCTTGGCGATTTTCAAACTGTTGACGAACAATTAGTGGTGGTTGAGGTGAACTTGGGTCATTGTATATCAACCAATTTGGTCCTATATTGTCCAGTGATAATGGACACACGTCCAAATCAGTAATAAAATATCTTTCACTAAAGTTAGAACTAAATGCATATTCATCCGGGGTTATACACCACAACATTGGCCTATAGTTAGTTATATCAGTGTTGCATGCCATTATAATAGTGCCTGTAAATAAAATACCTAGTAGAATAATAGTGGCTAATTATCTGAGCATGTGACCACGCACTGCTCACTTAAGAATAAAAACACAAATTCAAAAATTATTTTACCAATATTATTATTTATTAAAAGGACGTAACACTAGCATTTGTTGTCTACAACTTACAATTGCGTAACATAGCAAATTTACTAGAATTAGGCTCCTGTACGCTAGCATTGCGTAACATAGCAAATTTAAGCTCAGCAGATCACGTGTAGCTTCGTTAGTTTAAAAATGTTTTTAAGTGAGTTATGAGCATTTTTAATTTATGCTATATTATACACGCATAACTTGCTAAAAAACTTAACTATCATAATAAACATACATACAAACACAGATAATGTTCTAACCATCAAGTTTCACAATAGGTCGATTCACTCTAATTTTTAAACTAACGAAGCTACATGTAATCTGCTTAACGTAAATTTGGTATGTAATGCACTTGTAAAACAAAGACAACAAATGCCAGTGTTACGTCTTCTAAAAAATTTAAAAAAAAAAATGATAACAGAATTTTAGTCAATATTAATCGACATTTTATGTTACCATTACGATTTTACGGTGTATTTTACTGGCGAAACATGCCATAAGATGAGTGCTACCCATCGCTTAAGGGAAGTAGTGACTAGGCTAAGAACTCTTTTACTAACCACCCCAAGTTGCACTTCCCTTATGATTTATATTAATATTTCACTAAACCAATTAGAAGTAAATTTATAAATTAAAACATCAATTTTGTAAGTGTTTGATAGCACTTGTTATTAACAACTTAATGATGAGATAAAACTAAATAATATAATTCATGAACTCATGAATTTAAATAAATTAAATTTTTGTATTCCGAATTTTAGGAGATATTTAATTATAAATTACAACGCCACAATTACTTATTAATATAAGTTCCTAAAATTAATTAATCTCAAATTCATATAAATAAATAACAACCCTAATATGTTATTGATGATTAAATGTAGTCTATACCAACAATAATTTTAATGTTTGGATTTTCATACAATAAAATAAAATTATACCTCTGTTGTATAACACATGCTGAACACTACTTGGTTTCGATTCTCCAATAACCCTATTATATCCTGGTGGTAAACGTATGTGTACTAGTTGTAATGTGTAAGGTCTAGTATTTCTAGATGTTATTGCTCCAGTAGAAAAATATAATCTAAATCCAGACTTGGATACAACCAATAGATGAATGTCAGGTGATTCAGTTTCTTCTATGATTTTTATACTACTTAGTATAGTCATTTGAGCTATTTCTATAGTTCTGAAACCAAATTGATTATCATTTCTCAAGATTAATTTATTTTGAATCCACCACCACTTCATATAAAATATATTGCTTCAACACCAGGTGACCACGCATTGACAGTCTACATCAAAAACTTCGATTTACACTACCGATATTTATCTGTATTTAAATATTTTACATATTACACAAAGTTAATTTTTGTACATGATGTTTTTTTTAAAAACGGCAAATACTTCTTAAAATATTTGGAATTCTGTTTTTTTATTTTATTACAAAATGATGTCTGTTTTTGGTATGTAACTTTATTGAATACATGGTTTCAAGTGCCTATCATAGAAAATCTAAAAATTAATTTTGATGAGTTATTTATTTACTATAGTATTTAAAACCAGCATTAAATTTTCACAAAAAAACAAATATATATTGTGTATAATGGTCAAGTAAAGACAGTTTCATACTAAGAAAATTGTCTTATATTGTTTCTGTTATTCATGTATAATTATTAACCGTGCTACTCTGAATTGTAAACAATAAAATATAAATTATTATTACTTATCATTATTTGAAAAATCTTTTACAGAATACAAAAAAATATCTGAACTGGTTGGTCGGCCATTGGCAATACATTTTATACGACTAGGAGGAAGGTTGATAACAAACAAAAGCTTATTTTTTTTTTTTCATACTTACCTAAGTAATTTCGAAACTTGATGCTCAAGATTAGAATGCGACAAAGAAATAATTCGGCTTGTAGATTTACCATCAGATCCAAGATCATACAATTCAATTGAGCTATTTTCAGCTAGAGTGTAAAGTATATGCCGTGTATTATCAACAGCTATTTCAATAATTGCAGAAGGTTCGGTGATTGCATAAGTTAAAAATGATGGTAGTATATATGATAAGGTACCAGCTGAATGACAAACTTTCTTACAACGACTTCCATTTCTGATTGAAAACCATCCCAAATCTTTCTGTTTTGAAACAACACTACATATTAATATTTTAAAATCCTGAAAAAACTTATAGGTATTTAACATTTAAAAAATACTGTTCACAATAAATACCCAATAGTCAATTTCAAACAGGTTACCATCTTCACTTGCAAGAAAAATGCGTCCATTGTTAGTTCCAATAATTTTAGAAGTAATCATACCTTCAGCAGGAACTTCATAAATGGTATCTGTAGTAAGTTCCAATTGTTCTACAGTTTTACCTTAAAATACGAAAAAAATTTTAATTTAATTGTTAAGTATTATTGTCATAGCAAATTTCATTTGTTATTTATGAATTACAATTTTAAAAACAAAATATATAATGATATAATATAATTACCATCAGCACTGGTAACTTTTTTAAATGTTACCCCTAATATAGCAATATTTAATCCAGTAGCTAAGACTAACAAGTGTTTAATGTGAGGTTGAAATATATTTGGTTTTGGTTGTACCAGTGCTACTGCAAAAATAGTTGAGTTCATTCCATCAAAATAAGATAAATCCGTTCTAAAATATAAAATTATACAATGAAATATATATTTAGATCATAATTAATTGATATATTACCCTTCACTGTAGTCCCATAAAAAAAATTCCTGATCAATTGTGACCCAAACTCGATTGATCTCAGGAAATATTCCCAACTTGCGATGAAAGTTTTGTGAATCTAAATTAACAAAAATGTATTGAAATTAAGTGTAATTTAATATTTAAAAATCATTTTCTACAAATATTATAGAACAATGCATTTTGCATAAACACATAAAACACATAAGTTAACGCTTAAAAAAAGGATAGAAAATTAAATACAATACAAATTTAAAGATAATACCATTCCATTGTTCTAGTAATGCGCCCGGAAGTGGAACCTTGTGTCTTGATTTGAGGGGAGTAATTGAAGGCATACCTAATCCTTCTTTAGGATAATCATATTCTGTACAACCGCTAACACTTTGACCTAGGTAGCAGAAAAAAACACTAGTGTATTTTCTGATAAAAAAAAAATATTCCAAAAACATTTAATAACATTAAAAGGTACTGACTGCTTTTAGTTATCTGCATTTTCTCCACAAGTGTTGGAAATGAGTCATCTGCTGCAAAAAATCTATCCAACATTTTGCCAGATAAATCTAAACTATCTTTGACAGGTATTGATTGATTTTTGGTGGACATGGTATCCACAGACCTTGAAACGTTTAATGTAGAATCCATCTTTAATCAAGTGGACAAATACCTTTACCTACAAGGTACACAAATATTTGTATTAAACAGCTTATTAGAAATATCCTTATACTGCATTGTATAAAAACTGATTGATTTATAGTTCACTAAAATTGAATGGGCCACTACATGATGTTAAAGGAAAAAATGGTAGGTAATTATTTATGTAACCCGTCAATAAGTTTACAAATTAAGATTACTTACTAAGTGTAATTAAAATCACTTGTTCAACTAGGAAGATAAGTATTTTTTTAAGTATCACTAAACATGTTTAAGCTGAATTGTAAATCATTTAAAAATTAAATAAACTAGCAGTTCTCAAATAAAATGATGAAGTACCTAAAGCTCTTTCTAATAAAATAACTGTTATAACTTATTTGTCACAATAAGTAAATTTTTGCCATGTTAAAGAATAGTAAAGGAACAATTTAAGATTAGCATTTAGCGGGAAAACAAGATAAGCGCAGAAAAATCCAGCATAACTGAAGACAGTGAAAACCAGGGTTACGGCCAGTCGCCAGATACTGTCGTCTGCGGTCTGCCCATAGAAAACGCCGACCTAAACTAAGATAAAAATTGAATCTTAAATCTTAAAAAATACTAAAAGATATCCGTTAAACACTAACCTCAAAAAAAAAGTAAAAAATATATTTATTACAATATCGTAATTTATAAATTTCTTACTTTAATATTCTTATTTTATACATTTTAGAAGCTACAATAATTAAGCCTGAGCGACTGAATAAGCAGAAACATAAAACATTAACCCCAGCTTTCAGCACTTTTTTTACATTCAAAAAAATGCATGAAATGCACCAGACCGCCAAATCCTTGGTACCAACCTTACAAAAATATAAATAGCATAATTAACTAGACCATGATGTAGAAAAGATAAGGTGATATCACTTCGGACACTTCGTGAAAAAAGTGGCACAATTTGACGACTGAAGCCGGCGACGAATTCGTGAATTATTGTAACAAATGAAATATTTACAATTTTAATATTCAAACTCAAAACAAATATATTATACGTAAAACTACAAAATTACATCAAACATTTTTTGACAAAATTTTTTGTATGAACTATTTTAGGATATTCAACTGATAAATATTTGGGAAAGGAAGATTCAACGCAAAGATAAAAAACCTTTTCTCTCTACATCGTGTCATCGTGAGCATAAAGTTAACTAGATCGTTAACTAGACTTTTAACCCCAAGGGTGCGTTCAGAAACTTTTTCCATGTGGGATTAAAAATTAAAACGATATTAAAATATTAACTAGATATTCAATCACTTCCTAGTCGCTACCTCGATTAAAGATAATCCTTAATCGGGGTGGGTCACTACTAATTATTAGCTTATCGCCTAATCCCAATGGCAATATAATATATATATACCCAAAGGCCGAATCACAGCTTTAATACTTAAAATATTTTACTGGAAATTTTTTTATTTTTTTGTCGTGGTCAAAACTCAAGATGTAGAGAAGTTATGGGTATCCGATATCGCTACATCGTGGTGGTAGTGGCTCTTACCCAGAATAGAATAGATGCAATTATGGTTCTTACTACTTTTTATTATTTAATGGACCTTTAACTACTATCACCAAATTCACTGGATAGATGTTAGTAACAGGTTTCATCGAAATTCTTATCAAATAAATTGATAATATAATATAATAAATAATAATGTAGACAAAGCCATGTGACCATGCGGCTCACTAGTCGCTACTCACTATAAAATATGAAAATAAGTCTTAATTTTTTATTTTCATGATCCATTGAGTGATTTAAGTTTAAAATATTTTTACTCATTTATATTAATCCCATAGTCCATCATCGATATTTTATCATGCAACAATAAAACCACATACTTCAGATTATATATTAGATACCTTACAACCTTATAAAGTGCACTACCTATAATGCGTACTACAAAAGTTGCTTACAAATTAAACTTATAATTTATTTATAATATCTTGTGTTGTAAACACAGTAAAGTATATTTTGTGGCTTGTGTTCAAACAAAATATGGAATCCAAGAATCGGTAAAATCGAACAATATATTTATACTAAACCGTTTTTGTCATTATGCACATTTGTCATTTTATTTTTCACAGATTGGGCTATTGCGAGGTGTGCAGTAATGACTCGGCTAAATACTGCTGCCCGAGGTGTGAAGTGAAGACTTGTAGTTTATCATGTGTTAACATTCATAAGAAAGAATTGGATTGCGATGGCAAGAAATACAAAACTGGTTTTAAAAAATTAGAAAAATTTAATGACGCCGAAATGAGTCAAGGTATTAAGTGTTTGTATTTTTAAAAAAAAACATTATTAATTAGCTTTGTATTTTTACGAATAGATTATAGACTAATGAATGAGTTTATTGAAGCTGTTGGAGAGTTTAAAATGAAAACCCAACGCATATCCAATTTATCTGCTGTGAGTATAATTTGTATTTCAGTAATCCTGGAAATTATTTTTGTTAGATTTCAATTTCAATAAATTAATATATATGTATTAAATTATTAACTGACTTAAAAATATTCTTATAAGTAACATTTCAAAATATTTGAATTTTTAAATTATAAATTCCTTGTGGTATTGATTATATCTATATAATGATGCATGGTTTTTATTTTTATTTTTTTTTTGTATTTAATGACTTCATAGTTGAAAAATGCTTTGATTTTCAACTAAGAGTGGTTTTAGTAGCAAATTGGATCTAAAATTGTACATGTGGAGAGTTAAAAGTATTAATAAAATAGGTACACTTTTTTATGTTAAGTTTTAAAAATTAGTTAAATTTTTAGTTTAAATTAGTGAATTTTAAACAATTAAAGCATTAGGTAATAGTTATTAATTAACAATATTTTATCCATATTAGTTATTATAGAACTGAACTGAAAAAAAAGACATTTATCTATATAAATATATTTTATTCATGATTTTTGATCAAATTACCTGTTTTTCTAAGTTTTTTATCATGTTTAGGTTTTTCGAAGATTACGTTATCAAGCATACCAACGACATATACGTTTACAAATTTTACCCAAATCTACTTTGAACAAAAACAATACCTCTTTTTTTAATCCTAAAGTAAATAAAATCTTTTGGCGTATAGATTGGACATTTCATGGCACAGATGTGAAATACACAAACCATAAGTATTACAAATAATTAATTATACTTATGTATTTATTCTAAATAATGTTAATATAAATTATTTAGAGTCCCAGAGTATCAAAAACTGAATAGTATTGCTAGAGACTATTTCACTACAGAGTTTCATGATGATGAAGTAAAAGAAAAAATGCAGTTTTATGTTTCAGCTGGAATTAGAGGTGTAATATTGCTAATGAAAACACCATATGGAAAGTTTGTATAGTATATAAATGCATAATAATTAACATGTATCCTTTATTTTTTTTGACTAATAACTGCAGATATGCTAAACTGAAGTCATTGCTGTTCCACAAAATATATGTACCTAATAACTATTGTTTTTTAAAAATATTGTTACAGATATTATGAACTTGATGCTGAAGATACAATATCGTACAGCCTAAGGTATAAAACAATATTGGAATATCCAGAAATATTAGTTGTTTTGTCTATTCATAAAGATGCATTTAGTGATCTCCTTTATGTTGAGAATTCAACATTTAATAACAATAAATCAACAATTATGTAACAATAAATAAATGTATTGTTTTTTTGTAACAACTTGTCATATTTTAATTTAGTAAAAATATTTTCATCTTTAAACTTAAATTATGATGAAGCCCTGCAATAAATAAAAGTGCTATGTAATGAATGAACTAAATGACGTCTTGGATAAACAGAAATAACAAATAATTTTGAAATATCCTCTTAAACCAAATGAATTGGAATGAGTTTAAACTATGTACTTATTTATTCATTAATCAACTTGAAATGTGAACTCATATTTTTAAGTAACATAAAATTAATCAAAATATGTCTTTCGTCAAAATATTAAATAACATTTTACAAATTATTTTTTTTATTACATTCAAGGAAGTACTATTAATATTTTTTTGTCTAATAAAAAATTTGTATAAACTATTTTATTGAAGAATCTTTTTTGATGTCCACTAAATTATTGAATTGTATTATATTTTTGATATTTGTATAACATTATTATTGAAATTTAATATTATACTTACAAAAACAATTATTTTGGGTTCATATTTTATGCAAGATATAATGTGTTATGTACCTATAAAGTAATAAAACAAAATTGTGTTTATTTGTCTTTATTTTTGATATTTTTTAATTGCTATAAGAAACACTTAGAAACCTTGTATTAAATTTTTAAGTTTTATTCAAAAATAAAAGTTGAAATAGGTACATGTTAACTATAATCGCCTAAAAAAGGCTATAATTTTGCATGTCAAGAAACTGCTAGTAAAATTAGTATTTGGTGAAAATGTCAAGTCCACTGTTACAATATATCTAAATAACTAACAGTTATTGCCTATAGATATTTCTTTTAGGTATCCATTGGCTATTTAACTGAAACACTGAAGTGAGCCATAAATCATGTTATAATTTATAATAATATTGATTACTAATGTGAGATGATCCTGTGTAGGTACACGGAGGTGGACTGGCTAGGGCTTTTGTGGGAATAACTTTTTTTTGGTAACTAAATTACATTACTAATTCCTTATTAAAAAGTTACTACATTTTTTATTAGGTCAAGTTACATTACTTTTGAGTTTAAAAAGTAACCGAGTTTATTTATGTCAATTACAATTGAACTTACTTTTTTTTCAAAAATATCACTGGAGCTTAATAACAATGTTGTGAATACGACATCATATACATGAACTAAATAATGGTCAACAATATGGCAATACAAATTATAAACAGATGCTCATTTTGCCACACATTTATCTTTATTTTAAACAGTGCAGTTAAGAATTCTATTCCAAAATAACACTTTCGTTAAATAGCTAATAGCTATAATCCAAATATAGAGTTCAGAAAATTTTATTTATAAATGATAATGCTTGTATGGGATATAATAATATTCACGCACATTATCAACTAATACTGAAAATGTATTAAAATAAAAAAGAGTATCCGGTTATTCATTTAGTAATTTTACTACTAAAAAGTAATATAAATTAAGTGACTCCCCATCATTGGTTGGGAAGTTTTATTTCCCTGGGCCGGTCCAGAGATGTTGAAAATGTCTTTAATTTGGTACCTACTCAGAAAAATCTTATATGAATCATATTACCTAAATTGTAAAAATAGTTAGTTGTTACATATTAATATTTAATAGTAAATATACGTATTCAAACCAAATGTCCTTTAGTTAGCCTTAGGTTAAATGCGAAAAAAACTTCAGTTAAAAATCAATAGAAGTAGATTGTATTCATCGATAGGGAATGAGAAGTTAGAGACATTTATGTAAATGAATGTGGACTGTGGAGAAAGAGCTGTAAGGGGAAGTACATCTACAAAAAATATTAGAATATATTTTGAAGCAAAGCTCCCCATTAGTATTAGGTACTATTACAATTATTTAGTTGACGAAAGAGGTGATAGAAAAAAAAAACATACAATTTTTTTTTTTGATTACATACCTATTATGTATAAACTAATAGTGTTTTCTGTATTTTAACATTTAATAAGCCGTATGACAGGTGGTACATCACTGATAGTTCTACGTGGAACAGAAAAATATTTTATCAAAATTATTTACATAGGTAGTAATATTTTTTTTTTTTACAAAAACGGTTACATTTTAGACGCGTCTACATTTGAAGGTATAACCTGTGCCCTGTTTAACCATTCAACTCAAGTACTTGTTTAAACTCATTTAAATGCTAGTGAAGTAAAGCTAGTAAGTCATCTTGTTTAAATGTTTAATATTATCTTTGTCATAACAAGCTTTACATTTTAAATTATAAGATTTAACAAGTACCTACTTACTAGGTAAGTATACACTATACCTACACTAAAGTACTAAACACCATCTATAAATAGGTAGACAGGACCTAAAATGTAGTTTCACAAATTATCTGGACATACATTTGATGCAATTTAGGTAGCTGTCTAAGATGCCATATTTATATTATAAGTACATTTTATACTAGTTTTTAAGTTTTGCAATTTTTAAAAAACAAATATTAGGTAGTTAGTTATCACTTAGGTATCACCAATTAGTAACTTAAATTTTTTTTTCTATAAATGTCAATAAACTTTTATTTGTTGGGTCAACACGTCTACTTATACCAAGCATCATTAAAATATGTTAGTTATTTTTTATTACCAATATAATGCGGTGTTAATGGTGTTGTTAATTTTTCGTAATAAACATCTGGTAATTATAAGAAAAAACAAAATGTCCAAAAATCCAACAAATCCAAAAAATACATGTATATCCCTTGTTATATATAGGTATAGGTACCTAAGGTACATTCCTACTTTTTTTAAACACACACTAAAATATAATTTTTATTCATAATTTATACCAGCTGAATACTAAAAATCTGGATATACCTACCTAGTACCTACTTAAATGAAGGATACTCCTAATAACTTGTAAGTACCTATTTAAAGTTTCGATGAGTTTTTGGCACAGGGGTCCTCGTAAAATATTGGTCCATTACAGTGATGACTGATGAGCACAGCTATTTTCAATGGAGGGGTTTGTATATTTAACTATATTAGGTACATACATATTATACATAATTATTATATACCTATATCAATAGTTATACATCAAAATGTTAAGTGTACAAAGATTTATTTACATCATAGAATAATTTATATATTTAATTTCCTGGCCTCCTGGGTTTTTGTCCCAACTGGTCAAAAATTGTTCGTGCCTATTAAAGTAATGAATAGATATTGGCTAATGCCTTTGTTTAAGCTGTTGGTGAAAATAAAAATATTTATACAACACTTAAGGTATGTTTAAATATTTTATTAAATATATACGGGTATGTATGGGTGTACAATTCAATAAAATGTATTAAGATAAATTAATTTTTACCATATTATTAACCATTTTTGATAGTTTGATTATATTAAATATTTACCTGGTTCCTCATCTGAATCAATTGTATCACCAATTATTGTTCATTCCTCTCTGGTATTGGAAATTGAAATAGCAAAAGAATTTTATATTTTATAATATTTTCGTTAAAAATTATTCATTCTTATTATTTCAGAAAATTCTACAGTTAGTACTAAGTATACAATTAATATAATTCTTTAAACGTATCAGGAATCGGAACATCAAATGATATAGCATTATAACTGTTCAAAACCAATAGCTTGATAGTTGAAAAGTATAGCCGAGGGTATTATAGCGATAGGCGATAGCCATATATATGATGGTGTTTATTTGGCGTAAGTACATTTAATGTTCACAATTGCGTACGATTTTTATCTGCAACTCTGAAGCACTGTTGCCATTTGCTTTGAGCTATTTTGGATTACCATTTTTATCTTTTCAAGATATTCAAAATGCATTTGGTGAACTTATATCAATTTGTCCCGATTTAAATATTGGATGTTTGTTTTCTGACTAAATTTTAAATACATACGCGGAAAATGGATGTTTATTTCCACCGGAAATTTGGGCACAAGAGCCACCCAAGAACACCCAAACCCCATACCTAATTAAATAACACGGTAGGTATACATTGAAAAATCGATTTTGGTGTATTAAAATTATCAGAAACATACTCGCAAACCTATTTACCTACTATGTACATTATTGTATTATAAAATAAGCTTAAAATAATAGCCTCAAGCTTCCCGCAAACCAATTAGGAGAAATGTAGGTTAGTACGTGGTAGGAACGATTCTCAATCAAATGTGTTCAGTACTTAGGTAATTGGGTATCATTAACCAATTACCTACATTCAAATGACTAAACTTTTAAAATTACTTCCGGGAGAAAAAATCTGATTTCGCTTACAAAATCAGTATAAAAAAATTCAAACATATAACCACGTACTCATTGTATATTTATAGGTTTATTATATAGCTTCCATAAACGATCGTTAAAAATATTCTATGCAGTGCACAAAAAAAAACAAATATACAAAAAAAAATTATAAAATCCATTCTATATAATATTCATTGAGTAATTATAAATCATAATAATAATAAAAAAAAACCGTAATGCAACACCCGAAGAAAATCAATAATGCATTATTTATATTATTCTTCACAATTGAATGCAATCAAATATAATTAATTTTGAAGCACTTTAAATATATAGGTATTCACACATATTCAGATGACTTACAATATAGTTATAATATGTATACAAATTACAAAATTACTGTAATTTTTTAATACCTATTAAAAATTTAAAAATATAAGTCGGTACTATTACTAGACAGTAGACATAGATACTTGTAATCAAACACAAATACATAGAAAAATAGAACATTTTGCTTATGTTTTGATGTTCACTAAAAAAAGGCTAATACTTATAATGTTAATATAAAAATTAAAATAAATGAATCGATATGTACAATAATAACAAAACTACATTTGATGAGCCCCTTCAACAGGGCAATGGCCTAGGTATGAGCTGCAGGCTCTGAATAATGATGAAAATAGGTTTATTTATCATCTTATTAAAAAATAATCTTATGTAGGCATATTATTTTTAAATATCTTGATTGAAAAATACAATTTTGCAAATTGATTCAATTTAAATTTGAATTTGTAGATGAACTAAAAATTTTAACAACCAAAAGTTTTTCATTTACTTAATAACCTAACTATAACACATAAGGTACACCGTATACTTACACGGTTATACTGTTACAGAAACAGTTAAGCCACAACTGTTGACAGATAATTATATGATATTAACTTCTCAGTTTTTAAGGTAAGTAGGTATAATTGTATAAATATACATACAGCCATATACCTATAATTAATGTATTATTTTAGTAGGTACCTACATAGTATATACTACAGACGTAGATAGATACTTCATCACAATTTTAACTCTACAGGAAACAATATTGGACTCTGTTAAAACTGTTCTTTTAGTTAATGAGATACGAAAATTAATTAGTGAAAAACAATGATAAAATATAAATCAGCTGGAAACTCTTACAGTAAGAATTTTTCTGTTTAAACACAAGTTAATATTTTTAAGTATTGAACACAACTTATACAACTATATATAGGTATTTAGGAAGTTAATGACTGCTGTCTAATATATCTATAGGTACGCGCGTCCAGAAGGTACCTACATTCAACCTATCTA